GTTAAGTGGCTTTCACGACCAACACACAGGACGGAGCATGAGGCCTACCTATGTGGGTTCTGAAAGATTCAGATCCCACCTCGAGGAATACTGCTTTCTCTCCCATCCAATGAAATTATGGGGAGAAAAACTCTGAATTTGTCCCTGAGCAAGAGCAGGTCCTAGGAGCATCAGAGATGATCCTAATTAGATTGATTTCTCTCTACTCTCTCTATCTCTTCATAACCCCAATTCACACAGTATTTCTGGGGCACTGGTGGACAGCAGAAGAGGCACAGGGCTCATTTCTGGATTATCTGTGGAAATCCTTAGCATCCTAGGTACCACAGATCCAAAAGACACTGTTATTCATTGTCACTGGAGGACCACTGCTTACAAACGATTTCTATAGAGCTTCTACTGACCAGAAAGGAGGCTACTTTGATTTAGAAGGACCACTGCTTACAAACAAGTCCTGTAGAGCCTTTATTGCCAAGTGCAGAGAATGACCAAGATTACAGAGATGAAACGTCAACAGCAGGCATGTGGAGGTAGGAAAGGGTGAGGAATCAGGAGTTCATTCTTTCCCCACACCTAAATGTCTGAAAATACAGAAAACCCTTCACTGGGGTAAACAAAAAATGAAAACCCAAAAGGTAAACAGCATGTGAAAAGCACAGAGAAGTGTCTGCTGGACCACCTCTGAGTTCTGAGCAGGAGATTTTGTCAGTGAACCTGGAGAAGCAAGGCCCAGGTTGGAGAGAACAGATCTTGAGGCCCGGTCTGTGAGCGGATAAGGAGAAGGACCCGAGGCATCCCCATCATGAAAGAGCATGGATAGGGAATATTAAGGGAGTAGGCAATTAGGGGGCCTCCGAGGGCTATGCCAGGAGCGTCTTCTTTCATCCTTTCTCCTTATGGAAAAACTGCAGGCCTACAGAACATAGGCCTTCAAGAGATTCTATCCAATACCAGCAATTTGAGGTGGAAAGGCCTTGTCTCTAGGACTCACCATTTCCTTGTTCCCTTTCTGCAGTTCTAGAAGAATGACTCTGCTAATGCAGGCATCACTTCAGGTGGAGTGTTCCAACTGAGAGAAGAACACGAGGTAATTTGGAGGCAGATGAACACTGTCTGGTCCACACTCCGTTCACAGCGGCTGAGGGTACCTCTCGGTCCTCGGCTGCCTGGACTTGGTTGCCCGTGAATCACACTTGAGACCTCAAAGAGACAATGTAGAGGAAAGAATGTTCCGTGAACAAGGAGGGAGGTGGATTTTGGCTTTGTGCACATGATATAACCTGTCGGAAACAAATTGCTGCTATCAAAACAGTCAAGTCGTGGGAAGGTGGTGTACCTATGTATTGGACGGCAACTCTGAAGGCACAATATACAGAATGGCCTCTTGTCTGATTTACCCTTTGGAAATACAGTAAATCGGCTCCGAGTCTATGACAATGGCTTCATCAGCCTTTCAGTTTCTAGGCTCAGGGAATGCTCTGTAAGTGGGCATTCGTAAGTATGGCAGAACAGGCTTGAGCCTTCAAAAGCTCGACTGCTTCCCACACTTTGAGAGGCATAGGCCTTCTATCAAGAAATTAACAGATGGAACGATTCTCTCATCCCAGAGCAGGGAGGAACACAGGCCTGAGGAAGTAGGGACACATCAACCTGATTTAATCTCATTCTCTTTAGAGATGGGATGGGATGGGATGGTGGTAACGATGGTATGGTGAAAAGTTCATCAAGACTGTGGGAGAGACACTATGGTTACTCCCAATTGTTCAGAAATGATTTGTGATACTGCTCAAAATTGTAAAACTAGGAGATGATGGATACATTAAGATGAGGAACTCAATGTGTTAGCTATGCTTGTTTGGACGCTGGGAATTTTAGTATACTTTGGCTACCAAAGACTTGCTTCTTCTCAAAACGTTCAATTATCTCTATACAATGTGATGGAGATCATGAATTTAACGCTGCAGAGGCCATAGTTTCTGCTGATGGAATAGAAAAACTTGGGGGGGAGCTCTGGTGGCCTAGTGGTAAGGAGCTGCACCTACAATCCCAGAGGCGCATGGTTCGAATCCACCAGATGCTCTGCCAGGGAAGGAGGGACAATCTCCTCCTGTACCAGTCACAGCTGATTTGACGGTACATGCACACAAAAATAAAAAAAAAAAAGAAAGAAAAGAAAGAAAAAGTTGGAAACCAGTGACAAGTATAGCTATATAACACAGCTGCATAAAAGAGGTCAAAATTAATATTCACACAATGGAATACTACGCTGCACTGAGAAACAAGGAATTCATGCGATATAAGTCTAAATATTGCATAGGGCCACTGCTGTAAAACAGGACTGACATTTGGGTTTGGGGGAGATGGAGAAAGATGGGATAAATTAGGTACAATGCATTGAAACAGATAAGGAAGAGAACTGTTTAAAAGAAATTTGTTGTT